AAAAAAAAAAGGAAAGAAAGCGAAACAGCCCGCAACGCATTTAATCCTCACACAAACAACGAATGAGGTCCGAACCGGCAATACAATATCTCATCTTTTTTCATGTGCATTATTTCAGGGTGATTATGTTGAATTTCAAAGATTAAGAAATCTGAGTACGATTTTCAAAAATAGTGCAATTAAAGCCAATAAAGCCGCCCAATCAAGCATATCAGTAATTTTTTTCGCAGCCAAAGGATCGAGAAGTGTGCCTTTCAACGAGGAGACTGTCATCAAGAACTCTACGTTCCGTCCACAAATACACAGACTTCGTCGTACGACATTGTACTTTCCGATGCCACTAGGGATGAACCTCAAGAGAAAACACATAAGAAGTGAATAAATAAATAAATAAATAAATGTACTGCTCCAAGCAAAAACAGCTCATTATCAAGTTGAAAAAGATGGGGCTTGTTAGCAAACCTCGGATTGTACTTTGATACCCGACGTCGTAAAGAGTTTTCATGACGACATCTGCGGCATCGACATAGCGACGATTTGCACAGAGCCACAAGTTTCTTAACATCTACCGAACGACCACCTAAAGAGTGTAACGAAGTTGGATAAGGTAAGCTTTTCAGAAATTGACCTATGGAAAATCGGTCCTTTCGCTCTGAGTGGTTGATTATAACTGCTACTAAGATTAGGCCCTTACCCAATTTATTCTGCCGACTTCTACGACTCCTTGGCGGTTCAGCCGAGTGAGATGGAAGCCATGACTGCTGCATGGACGAACCTAAAATTTAGGCAACTTATGGATGAGCTCGACTGGATTTCTCGGAACATTTAGAACAGTAAATTGATTACCTTCAGTAGGAGTCGAATTACGAGTTGCAGAACGGGCAGAAAATGAGCGAACCCCAATAGATGGCTGTTCACCTCTACGTGGCATTTGTGGCCGTTGAAGTAGACGTGGTCGACTGGTGGATTGATGTAAAATAGGTACTGAAGACGAATGCGCCATCATGTTGGAGGAGAGAAGACATCTGAAAGGAACCAAAAAGATTAAAAGGAACCTGGGAAAAGAAAACATCCATTTTTCCATCAACTTCTCTCAAAAACTAAGAATAGCCCAAATTATGAAAAAAATGTTCTTGCCATTGATAAACATGCTGCACTCTGCTGCTGCACTCATGCCTGAGTAACCGATAAAAAATTCTAGCGGCCCCTGAATGCACATTTGGCATGTGATGACACGGGATGACATATAGGCCATCCAGAGCATCCAGTCTCCCTCACAAGTCTCGTAAAATACTTGAGCCTACAGGGAGGGCGGCGTTAGTTGAGCTAGCCAGGTGTCAGTTCAGTATTCAATACTCAGACCAAGCGCGTGGTATCGTTCTTCGGATCAGAGGACTACAACCCCAACCCCGTCTCTGCCAAAAGCGGATTTTACGAGCAAGTATAGTTAGTCTTTGATTGTGGTTTGCTCATACCTTGCTTCATATCCAGCGACTCGAATGGGTTGTCTGGCTCGACTCCTTTCCAAAAGCTGGCGAGCTTCGCGTTTTGTATCCACACCATCTTCACATAGCTGCTCACGTGATCCGCTTACTATCGCCGAATCAGAGGACACGATTCGGTTCCTGAAGAAAGAAGAGTCATTATTTTCTAACTTAGTTGTATTTCCATTAGTTCATCATAATTATCGATTAAAGTCAGTATTGGCTGGGGACTCAATCTCACACTCGAGATAAAACGTCCATATCTACAATCTGAGCGACATTTATACCTTCGACTATTTATTCTAAAATCACGTTACTTTGGCCTTTAGACCAAAATAATGTAAAGCCAAAACAATATTAATAATATCGTAAAGTTTTTGAAGACTTTTGCCGTGAAGGAAGTCCGTTCCTGAGATACGCCTTCGCATCCGACGTCTATTCAGTATAATACTCTATGATTCGCACATTTTCATACTTCAGTAATGTAGACCATTATATTATCGATATAAAGCGTTGCGTGGAAGCTAAGTAAATAAATAAATAATTAATACCAAAGTGTGCTTCCGGCTAGGTGGTCTAGTAGACATCTGTTGTTATTTGTTTCTTTTAAGAATACCACCATGCTATATCATTATGCTGGTTGTCTACCTTTATCTGTGTTTGTTTCTGCAGTTAGTATGTTACGTTATCTGACTAGGTTATCTAACTGGAGAAGTTCTGTAATAAGCGCACCTACGAGTGCATAACTAAATAAAAATAAAATAAAAATTAAATATTTCGTTATTGTGTTGCAAATAAAAATAAAACTCACCGATCATAGGAAGCGGAAAGGCTGCGCGACATTAGTGTTGGTATTTTTGTTGCCTTTGGTGTGGAGGTACCAGGCAAAACGGAAACAGCGAGTCGACTTCGAGTAGCAGAAGAGCAACGTCTGGACACAGAACGATAAAATACTTTCGTCTTATTCTTCGAATTTGGTGTCAATTGATCGAATCGATTCGCGGGTTCTCTTTTTACTTAAAGGAGAGCAAGACGAGAAGATTGCTCAGAACTAACGTTGGACAATCATATGTACAATTAGCTACCTAGAAGATACTGAATATGCCAGCGCTGCTTACCGATTAACGGCACATTCGGTCATATCGATTGGTGATCGATCCATACAATGAACATTTTTATACAAAGAATCGTTCATTCGGCGA